CCATAGATAATAATCAAAATATACAGGAAAGTAAAGGAAGAAAAATGCTGCTTGAGAACTTATTAGGCTCTGATTTAACACTATTTACATTGTATATTGTGATGTGATGTTTGACGGTTTGTTTTAACAATTAGAAAACTAGGGGCAGGTTATTGGAGGGGCTGAGGGCCGTCCCCCTCCTCTTACTTATTTGTATTATCAAAGCACCTGGGAAGTGCTAGGTGCTTTACAAACCCACAAGTAAAAGACAGTCCCTGCGCTAGGGAATATACAATCTAAAGATTATTTAGTTAAGGTCTGTAAAGCACTTTGAACATGCAAAGGGTGTACATCAGTGTTAATTATTATCAAGTATTATCGAATCTTCCACCAACATTGTTTCCTACCTCTCCATTCCCATTCCCACCCCCCATCCTCCCACCCGCTATCTGAGCATTCTAGGGACATTCTGGTTATTTTGTTGGCCTTTTTTTCCCTTCTGAAAAGCACTCGAGCTGTGGGGAAGACTAAAGCACCCCATTCACACAAGAGGAGCCAGCAGCTTCTCCCCCCCACACTCCCACCCTGCTTATTTGGAAATTTGTCCCTTGGAAAAAAGTTCCCAAATGCTGGCAGCTGTATTACAGCGGAACAGCATAGGGTGGCCCTCAATTCTCAACCCTCACTCTAGGGCTACCACCTGAACAGTATTTGACCAGCCTGGCCATTTTTTTAAATAGATTTGCCAGTTGCCAGAAAAATAATTTAATCTGCTTGGTTTTTTTACGTGGGTCTAAAGATTTTCATTATTCTGCCAATACACTGGGATACATAAAAGTGTCTGTGTCCAGCTAGAGATGCTGCAGTGTTCCCACTTCCACAGTTTAAGTGATAACAGATCAAAACTGTTGAAAAGAGAGCAGCTGTCCGCCCACCAACACACAAGTGCACTGTGTGTGTGTAAGAGGGTTTGAGTCACAGGAGAGTGAGGAAACCTGTCATATTATCAGTCTTATCTACATGTATTCTATCTCTAGATACTATAAATGGGTGTTGGGGGGGGGCGGTGTTGTGGAGTTGGCTTGGGGGTTGGGGTTGCAGTGGGCTTGCTTTGGAGGGTGCTGTGTTTTTTGCATTTCAAAGGTGGTGACCCCACCTCATACAGGCAAATATCCCACTGGCTTCAGAACCAGATTATAGACTTCAGGATTTGGGCCCTGGTTCAGAAACTGCTTAGCAGGCTAACAGCCCTCCCCCAGACCCGGAGTGAGTGACAGCAGAGTGCTGTCCCCTCCTTTCTTGGCAGGGTATACTTGCTCCAGACCTCCCTTCCGGGGGAAGCCACACAAAACTCTCTTTCTCCTGCATGGATGCAACAGAAACACCCTCTAACAGCTGAAGCAAGCCAGGGATTCCGTGTGCAGATCCCAGGCCTCACGGGCTGGTTGTAAAAAATCCCCACCGTCTGCAAACCTAGCACACAGCCAAGTGGAGGTGGAGTGGGATGTACCCGTGCTCGGTTAGCCTGCTAGAGACATGACACAGCAGCTAATACTTAACCAAGCGGAACCTCTGCAATACTTCCTTTTCCAAAGCATGAGTGCGAACAGAAGCTCTTTCCAACTAACACAGTGTTTCTCAGGGATCGGTCCGTGCACGGCACCAGTCCCTGAGATCTCCCTGACACAGTTTAGGAAGGCAGCAAGCTTGTCCCTGGTATCAAAAAGGCTGAGAAACGCTGGTCTGAGCCCTCCTCTGAGCTAGACTTTTTCATCCAGTATTTATTACTCGACCAGCCAGGAGAGACTGCAAATCCCAGCCCAAGGACACAAGAAAAGCAAATCCTTACCTGTCCCCAGAGAGGGAGAGTTTGGAAAGAGTCTAGAAAGGTCGCCTTGGAGTGATGAACGCAGAGGGTTAAAGTGGTTCCTAACACAGAAGGGCCATGCAAAGCTGCATGGAAAACAGGGAGGGTTTCCTGTGCTGTAACACTACACCCCTCCCTGCATCTCCCACCGGGAAATTCAAAGCCACCCAAGAAAAGCAGCTGTTAGTGCTTAGCTCAAGCAAAATCCCAGTTCCCTTCTCCCAGCATAGGGAGAAAAATACATCTCAGCCTATGCCTATGTGCTGATGAAAGCAGCCTGCCCTGCCTCCCCCTCCCCCGAGGCGGCTTCTCCAGGGAAAAACAAATGGTAAAATGCTCCCTAAAGCCAAGCTGTTGCTCTGGCAACACTTGGTTTGACTCTCCTCTACCATGTAGCCTCTTGACATTGGTGTAGCTTTAGGTACTTCAGTGCAGTTACTCCTGATTGACTGTGGTGAGTGAGAGGAGAATCAGGCCCCATGATTTAAGGGAACAGAGCTCAGGGTTCACTGTGCGTGTGGATACATGTACATACTCCTGCTAGTTAATTCTACTGTAACTTGTGCAGCATAGAAAAGGCTACAGCTTGCAGTCCACTTGTTAGCGGCTGTGTTTACAAAAGACACCATATCACAGATGGCAAACATTTGATAATGGGTTATTAAACTGCTATCCCCTGGGCTTTGGATTTCTAAACAGCCTTTCAAGCAGAGCAGAAACAGATTTGCTATTTAGACTTGTTTGAGGTCTGGGCTTGAAAGGATTTGAACTAACACTGGGAAAGACTCCAGCTTACATTTCTTTCTAAGTAAATGAAACCCTCTAATAAAAGGCCAGGAGACTAAAAGCTGGGAAGACCTTCTGCTGTTGTGGCTTGCAAATCATACCACAGGGAAGATAGGGGGAGGGTTTATTTGTACCACAGAGTGGAGGTAAACATCATGATGAATTACAAGGGGTGAGGGTGAAGGATCTTGTCATTCTTCTCCTAAGGTGTAGCTACACTGCAGCTGGAGGTGTAATTTCCGGGACAGGTGTAAGGATTTAGGGATGAGGACCCAGGTCGGCAGAGCCCGGGACACCACCACCCAGGGCCCATGCAAAGTCACAGCCAGGGAGCATGGAGGAGAGTAGGAGCTGCAGGACGTACGGCCCAAGTGACCCAGAGTGACAGTACCTTGTGGCCCTTTGATTTGCCAGGAGCCCTATTTAACCCTGGAGGGTGCCCCAGGAAGGTGACTCCTGACTGCAGCCTGGCACTATCTTTGGTCTCTGACCCTCATTGACTTTGATCCTGACTCTTATTTATTGAGCCTGGATCTAGCAATTCCTCTGACCACTGTCCCTGCTGTGTGGATCCCAGCCCAGCTGTAACTGCTTGGCCACACTGCCTGTGCCATGGTCTCTTACATTCTGTAAATATTCATGTGCTACCTCTGATTGAGCTAACATGCTAAAAACTGCCATGTAGCCACAGCCTGGCAGAGGCCAACTGCCTGCGGATGTACGAAAGTTCATGCTTTCTCTGCCCTAATGCGTATTTAATTATTCATACAAAGTGGACCAAGCTTCATCAGGAGAGACTCTCACATCAGAATACCCCATAGTTCAGAGGCTTGGTCAGTCCCCTGAGAGGTGGGAAGCCTAGGTTACAATCCCTTCCCCTTGCCAGGCAGAGGGGGGAATTGAACTGGCATCCCCTTCACCGGGTGTGAGTTTCCCAACCACTGGGCTAAAGGTTATATGGGAGGCCTCCTTCCCCTGCCCATTTTGTGCTGAGTTAGGAGTGCTCAGAGCACACCTACCAGACTGGGCCCTGCAGGCAGCGCATGTGAGTAGAGGCAGAAACAGGTGCCAAGGGAACTTAAATCATGAGTTCAGCACCTGCTGGGTTAGGCAGTAGCTGAATGGGGGGTTTTGTGGATTGCAGTAGTGCCTAAAACTGGGTTTTAGGTGCCTAAGTTCTGTTGGGGATCTAAGCCTTCATCTCCATGCCCGAGTTCTCCAGCTGTACAATGGGGAGAATAGTACTTCCCATCCTCACAAGTTGTTGGGAGACGAAATTCAATAATTTAAGTGAGCTGCCCAAATGCTATAAGAATGGGGCCACATAAGTACTTAGATATATTAAGAAACAATGAATAAACACAACCCCCTTTCCTCTTCAGTCCATCCCAGAAGCTTGAAGGAGGCTTGAGAGGGGAATACAAATTCAGAGCCACTGGAGTGGGTTAGATATTTTATTTATATGTGAATTTAAAATGTCACTGTCCAAAAGGTAGTGTACACCATAGCTGAAGCAGAAGAGAGGAAAAATAAACAATGTAAATGAACACTTGGAGTGGGGAAAGTTTGAGCTATGATTATCATTATATTCATTATTACTGAACATTGATATTACAGTAGCACCAAGAGGCCTCAGCCAGTTTGGAGCTTCATTGCACAAAGTGCTGTACAACCACACAGCAAATGGCAGGGAAAAATTTCCGAAAGCATCTAAGGGGCCAGATTTTTAAAGGCATTTAGGCACCTAAAGATGCAGATAGATGCCTAATGGGATTTGCAAAAGTACTTTTCTGCATCTGTAGACACCAAATATCTTTGAAAATCTGACCCTTGGGTTCCTAGGTCGCACTAATTTTCAGTGGATACGTGGCTCCCAAAGCCAACATGACTTGAAAAATGGGACTCAGGCTCCTAGATCACTTAGCTAGTTTGGAAAATTGTACCCTAAAGGACAAAACATACTTACCATTAGTGATGACATGATATTTACACCCCCACCTTCCTACACATTTGGGGAGAGGGATAGCTCAAGGGTTTGAGTATTGGCCCGCTAAACCCAGGGTTGTAAGTTCAATTCTTGAGGGGGCCATTTAGGGATCTCGGGCAAAAACTGGGGATTGGTCCTACTTTGAGTAGGGGGTTGGACTAGGTGACCTTCTGAGGTCCCTTCCAACCCTGATATTCTACGATTTCATTAGGTCCTAGGGAAACTTGGGAGAAGAGGTGGTTTCTGAGAGACTTTCCTACGAAGTGGTCTGCAGACAGAAAATGGCTGAGTCACTGACGAAGAGGAGGTACACATTGTGCAGTTTATCTTAGTCACAGGACTATCAGGGCTGGAAAGGACACCTCGTTTGGCTAGATCTAGTCATTCAGTCTTATTTCGTTGCATATGACCACTGCCTTCTGTGCCTTGAATAAGGGCCTTATAAGTGGTGGGGCAGTATGTTTTGTACAGATTTTCCACTAACGTGTTACTTCCTGCAACCACAGTCTTGTGTTCCTTGTTCATGAAGTTCCACAGGTGCAAAGCATAGGAGTTGTTGAAGTCAGGGCTTCTCTTCCAAACCTTGTAGTACTGCCTCCATGCTGGGTAAGGGATGGGGTAGAAACGCTGAGGATGTAAGAAGGAAATGTTCTGACAGCTCTGATCCTCCACATTATGGAAATTGGTCAGGTTGCACAAGGCTTGCAGCCTTCTCGTCATTAAGAGGGGTCCTTGGTTTCCCCAAATGCGTCCATTGTAGTTTCGAACAAAATCTTTCATGCAATCCCAAATGAACCAGTGATGGTGAGGAAAGCCAAAAATCCCACTGCTGGAGACCTGGGAAGCCTCGGCTGCCAGGAAGTTTGTCACTGGAATAGGCCTGATGGAGATGACATCTGTGTCCATGTAGGTCCCACCGTATTTCCAGATGAGTGCAAGTCTGCTGGCATCAGAGCTGACATGAACCCAGTGTTTTTCCTGGATTGCATTTACCTGCAGAGTTGGAAAGGGATCATAGAGATGCAATTGACTCCACTTCAAAACACCTGATCCCATTAGCTATATATTCTATAAAACTCTTAACAGTATCTATCCTTACTTTAATCCCTTTAAAATTAATGGCTGTTTCTCTTTTTCAGTTATGAAACTTTTCTAGAAAAAGGCAAGAGCAGATGTAGGTTTTGTTCAATGTGATTCTACAGGTGTTTCCAAGGTGCAGTAAACTCCAAGGAAATATGCAACATTTATGAAATAATGAGAATATGAATTATGAACTAATTTCCACAAAAACAACCTCCCCCATCTCAATTTACACACACTGTCTGATACCAAGCCCGTGGGATTCAATTGAAAGATTCTCATTGATTTCAGTGAGCTTTGGAATAGGCCCCTCCTGGCAATCTCTAAAGAGGATAAAAAGTGAGAGAAATTCAGGCCTTGGGTTATGCTGGTGCACGGAGGGCTGGTGTACCAGTATAGCAGCCAGGTCCCTGTTTATTCTCCAGACTCTCCACTTCCATTTAAAAATAATGGAAATAATGACGTCCTTAGCTATAATGGTTGTCAATCGACCCATGGAAACATGAAACAAGTGCAGAATAATGCAGTGAAGTCTACCTGAGTTTTCAGACAGGACTCAAAGGACTCAGAACAAGAACTCAAAGGGGTGTGAACTCCCTGAACAACAGTTCTGAGAGGCCTGGTTGGAACTTGGAAGAGCATCACTGCCTTTTTCCCCCCCCCAAAATTGATCTCTGAATGACCCTCTCACTTCTAGAGCTTGTCCCCAGACATTTTCATTGCTGGGTCTGACACCTTTAACAAGCACTGAAATCATTTTCACAAACCTTAAAAGCTCACTTTAAATTCACGCTGACTGAAATTTTTCAAATACAACCTTTTTTATCAATACATTGCCTTTTTTAAAAAAAAATGGTGATTAACCATATTTTATCAAAATGGTTAATCAAAATTATTGAAATGTTCCATTTACCACACCTCCTGTCATCAGGAAATGGTAAATGTCCATAACAATTTCAATAAATATTTTGACTAACGCATGGCAAACTGTCATGAACAAGGGGTTGATATTGGGTGCAACAAAATGACAACAGCTTCAAAAAAAGTGCAAAAATGTTTTCATTTTCCACCACCTCTACTTTAAATCTTGTTCAAAAACATTTCCTCTCACCTTGTGATACCATGGCAGCAGAGGTGTCTCCTGGAACAAAGTTTCCATCTGGAAAGGAAAAATGAAGACATTCTTCATAGCAGATAAAAGTGAGAAGGCTGTGTAAGTGGAATTTGAATCCAGCCATGTGCTATTGTTCAGCCCTTTCATGAAGAAAACAACAGGTCTGTCATGGTAGATCCTGGCAGCAGACTCCACAGAACATGAAACCAGTGGAGGAGGCTCAAGGCGATCTGTGGTCTCCACAAAGATGATGCTTCTGCTCTGGCTCACAACATCCTCTTGCATCAGGAATTGCTCAGCAATAGGCATGCATGAGAAGATGCAGCCAGACCTCAGGGAGAGTTTATAGAACAGGGCAAAGACAAAGACAAAAAGGAACCAGAGTACTATTTGGATCTCCTTCAACATTCTTGCTTTTCCTTGGACATCTGAATCTTAATAAAAAAGAAAGTCAATGTCTGTGGTTCATTGTTTATCACTGGGAGAAAAAACGTGACAGGATAGGATTTCAAAAATTACTACTACCTTGGATTATTTCTTATGAGATTGAGAGCATATTACAAAACTGGGGACTCAAGAGTTAAACTAAATCACATACCTGAGTTGGCATAAGCCTTGGACTCACGCTGCAGTTTATGAAAATGACTTGTTAACCGTCTATGGCAGTGGTTCCCAAACTTGTTCCGCTGCTTGTGCGGGGAAAGCCCCTGGAGGGCTGGGCCAGTTTACCTACCTGCTGGGTCCACAAGTTCGGCCTATCGCAGCTCCCTGTGGCCGCGGTTCACTGCTCCAGGCCAATGGGAGCTGCTGGAAGCAGTGGCGAGTACATCCCTCTGTCCGCGCTGCTTCCAGCAGCTCCCATTGGCCTGGAGCAGCGAACCGCGGCCACTGGGAGCCGCGATCAGCTGAACCTGCAGAAGCAGCAGGTAAACAAACCGACCTGGCCCGCCAGGGGCTTTCTCCGCACAAGCGGTGGAACAAGTTTGGGAACCACTGGTCTATGGGTTGGAGCCCTGAAATTTGCAGTCCTCAAACCAAAGATGTTCTCTACTGATCTTAATGGAATTCAGTGCACGAAAAGGGCCCTAGGTCATAACAGGAAGGAGAAACTGCCTGGACTCTAGTTGAGTGGCATGCTGCACACAAGCAAGCAAGGGACCCTCCTGAGCTAAGGTGGTGGGTGTTTGAAGAAGACCCAGTTAAAGGCACCGATGAACAACCTTCTCTCTTGTCTTAGGTGTTCCATATAAAGGAGCAGAAGAATCAGTCACACCTTTCAGATTATATGAAATCCCAAAAGAAGTGGGTAGTGTATTTTTGTATGTATATTCTCACTGCAGGGCATTGGTAATATTAGAAGAAGCCCAGTCTACTTGGCTGTGCAGTCCCTGTGGAAGCCAAGTTATTATCCATTAGTCTGTTTTCTTTTGGCTGCATGAAGTGAAAAATAAATGCATAGGCCAAATTAGGCATTCCTGCACAACCCAGTAGATCAGAAGTTGCTGCATAAGAGGCAGAATTTGGCCCTATATCTGGACTGGACTGTTTCAGGTGCGTTCACTCTGGGTGTGCCGCTTGATTGCATGTTACCAGTGCATATCCATTATAGTCAGATCTGCCAATACTCATTAGCCAGCCTGAGGTTTTGAACAGCAGCCTCAGTACCTAAGGGGGCCACTTGTTTTATGTTTAGGATAAGGCTGCAAGAAAGAAAGTGATACATACCTGGGCTCCCATTCCAGTGTATGGCATGGGGGTGATTGTTTGACAGTTGTGGATTTGAGGTGTCTGAAGGGGAAATCTGTAGTAACCATCTATAATACTCGCCAAGCCTGCGAGTAAACTGAATAAATTGTACTTCTAGTAAAGTTAGGAGATACACCCACATTTCTTTGTCTGGTAATTTGTTTTATTAACTAATTAAACAGATCAGAATATAGACAAAGTACCATGTACTGCACACCAATCATCAGACACAGATGAACATATGTTGGGGAAGAGTCAACATGGCTCTTTGTAAAGGGAAATCATGCCTCACTGATCTATTAGAATTCTTTGAGGGGGTCAACAAGCATGTGGACAAGGGTGATCCAGTTGATATTGCATACCTGGGCTTTCAGAAAGTCTGTGACAAGGTCCCTCACCAAAAGTTCTTAAAGTGAGCAATTGTGGGATAAGAGGGAAAGTCTTCTCATGGATCAGTACTTTGTTAAAAGATAGGAAACAAAGGGTAGGAATAAGTGACCAGTTTTCACAGTGGAGGGAAGTAAATATCAGGGACCCCCTGAAGGATCAGTACTGAGACTGGTGCTATTCAACATATTCATAAGTGATCTGGAAAAGGGGGTAAACAATGAGGTGGCAAAGTTTGCAAATGATACAAAATCAAGATAGTTAGTCCAAAGCGGACTGTGAAATGTTCACAGGGATCTCACAAAATTGGGTGACTGGGCAAGAAAACGGCAGATGAAATTCAGTGTTGATAAATGTGTTGCCAGCACCCAGTGCCAAGAGGCAAAACAACAGCAGGGGTTCATTACCCAGTGTGCTTCACTCAATAATCACAATGGGGTGGAGAAGCAGAAAAGTTTATTTGCAGCTGCAAACAAGGTACAGGGAGAATAGAATCTCAAATCCTGCACTACCTCATATGGTTTAGTCCAATTATTCTGTCTGACAGCTGCATGACTGAGTCCTCACAGTAGCAACTCCTTATAGGAGGTGAGGTGGGTCATAGCCTGATTGTCATTTGGGTCCCACCTAGGATCCTTTATAGGAACCTGATCATCTGGGGTTGGGATATTGTTATGGTCCTGGTCATATCGCCTCTTTGCTTCCTCCCTTGCTTTAGCTATGACCTGTTCTCGTTCAACCTCAGTCAATAATGTTCGCAGAAGGACATTACAATCATCCCAGTCTGGCTTGTAGCTGCTAAGACATCCCTCAAAAACTGATACAAACTTGCTTGGGTTGATAGAAAATTCTCCAGCCTGTGCTTTGAAAGCGGCCAGGTCCATAGGATTAAAAGGTGCATGAGTATTGACCTGCATGGTAAGGGCTGGTCTACCTTCCGCTGCATTTCGAGCAATTTTAGTCTTGGTAAGTAACGGGTATAGTCCAGCAAATGGAGCTCGAACCTCACTATGAGCTTCACTAGGAATCTTACTCTGAGCCTCGCTCTGTGTGGCTGTAGGGGTCGAAGGGGACACCGGATCTGCCATTACATTTGGGGTGGGGGTCCGGGGACTGACATTAATTGCTACCGGGCCAATCTGGGTTAAATTACAGCGTTGTAAAATATCAGTACAAGACCACAAGGTCATAAACAAGTAAGCATATGAATGCTCATTCCACTTCCCCGTTCGCTGACAGAACAGGAGTAACTGGAGGATTGTATTATGATTTAGTGATCCTCTGGGAGGCCACTGTTCCTGGTCCTCTAATTGGTACTGAGGCCAGTCAGCTGTACAAAATCACTTCAATTTACTCTTAGTCATTGGATCTGATCCAAATACCTTCCAATTTACTAAAATACACTCTAGGGGCATGCACCGTTCCCTATCTCCCGTGCTCTGTTCCTGTCCCATACCTACAGGGTAACTCTGGGCGTCCCCAGGTTCCAACAGAGCATACAATCCGGATTTCAAAAGGTTCCTACCTTATCCAAGGGAGCAGTTCCCCACTGTCGCCCGCAGCTGCTTCTCCACTATGTGAGTGCGTTGCACCATCGTGCCCTCCGGGGTTGATCAAACTGCATCTCCTCCAAGGCCCCCGATGAACTCACTGGTGCGTGCTGTGCGTTGGTTGTCGCTGCAATCCTCGACCTCCAGAAGAGATCCAGGCAAGGCTAAATAGCAGCCTCGTCGCCCCACGTTGGACGCCAAAAGCTGTTGCCGACTCCCAGTCCCAAGAGGCAAAACAACAGCAGGGGTTCATTACCCGGTGTTCTTCACTCAATAATCACAATGGGGTGGAGAAGCAGAAAAGTTTATTTGCAGCTGCAAACAAGGTACAGGGAGAATAGAATCTCAAATCCTGCACACCAGAGCAGGTCATTACACACACTTTTATATTCCTTAATGCTACTGCACTACACATCAGCCAATTAAAACTTAATACTCTGCCTTCCTTATATGGGTTACAACAATGTTTATTTCCTGCAACGTCTAACAAGCATTCCTAGCAACTTAAACAATCAGCACATTCTGTCTGGCCTTGTAACTATCTCCTATTATCTTTAACTTGGCGTCAGCAAACCTTACACTATAAGGCATTATCTGCGGCTGCAACATTGTTTTAAGAGCAAAAGAGCTTACTCAAACCAGCCAGGCCTGAATTCTATTAAGGGGGGTTAAGAAGAAGCCCTTAGGCCTTCAGCAGGGAGACCTCCTCGACCCTTATGGCCTTCCATCCCCTCGACTTAACTAGTGGCCATGCCCTGGGGTCTCCAACAAATGCAAAGTAATGAACATTGGCAAACATAATCCCAATTATACATACAATATGTTGAGGTCTAAGTTAGCTGTTACCACTCAAAAAAGATCTTGGAATCATTGTCAATAGTTCTCTGAAAACATCTGCTCAATGTGAAGCAGCAGTCAAAAAAGTGAACAGAATGCTAGGAAGCATTAGGAAAAGGATAGATAAGACATCAAATATCATAATGCCACTATATAAATCCATGATACGCCCACATCTTGAATACTGCAGGCAGTTCTGTTTGCCCCATCTCAAAAAAAGATATTTTAGAATTGGAAAAACTACAGAGAAGGGCAACAAAAATGATTAAGGGTATGGAACAGCTGCAATATGAGGAGAAATTACAAAGACCGGGACTGCTCAGCTTAGAAATGAGACAACAAATGGGGGATAAAATAAAGTAGTATATAATCATGAACGTGTGGAGAAAGTGAATAGAGAAATGTTATTTAATCTTCCACATAATATAAGAATCAGGGATCACCTAATGAAATTAATACAGTAGACAACAGATTTAAAACAAACAAAAGGGAGTACTTTTTCCTCACAACACACTGTCAACCTGTGGAACTCGTTGCCAGAGGATGTTGAATAGGCCAAAAATATAACTGGTTTCAAAAAAGAATTAGATAAGTTCGGGGAGGATAAGGTCCATCACTGGGTATTAGCCAAGATGATTAAGAATGCAACCCCATGCTCAGAGATTTAGGGACACACAGACTGCCAAAAGCTGGGATGGGATGACAGCTGGGATGGGATCACTCAAAATTACCTTGTTCTGTTCATTCCTTCTGAAGCATCTGGCACTGACCAAGGTGGGTGTCACAGGGTGCTCCACTCACCTCTTGTCTGGCACACCTCCTGCTGACCACTCTGGGGATTAGTGCTTGAGCTCAACACCTCCTTCCACAGTTTCCACACTGTCACACCATCTTTCTCTCTCTGGT